CTTAGTAATTACATGTTGAGTGAGGAGGCGAGGTGCAACAAGAAGTTTGATGGAATTATACGTTGAGGCTTTGACTTTATTGGGATTAGAAGAAGAAGAAGAAGAAGAAGAGAGGCAGACAGGTGCATAAATGCCGTAGATGTCGATATCAGAAAAAGCTTGTAAGAAGGCTCGCATGTGGTCATTGCAGTGCTCTGTTTGGTTATTTTCATTTTCAAAATCGCATTCCTTGACTAAATTGTAGTAGAGCTGGTCGGAGATGATGGCATGGCTCCATGCGTAGTCAAACATTCCACGGCTGTCGGTTGGACCGTTGATCACAGCATTCCCAATCTAACCCCACCATTTTTAAAAATAATTAATTAATTAATAAGTTCATCAATAATAATAATAATAAAGTAAATGTAGGTATAGGTACAAGGAAGAAAGCAGGCAGGCTCACCATGAAACCTTTGAGATTAATGTAGGAGGAGGAGGAGGAGGAGTGTTTGTTTCGTTGGTAGATGAGGTCGGCCAGCTGGGGGACATAATGACCAGCATAGCTCTCCCCAGCAATATAAAACTCATGAGATTTGAAGGCCGGGAATCTCTTAAACCATTCCACCAAGAAAGCATACGAGTCTGCGGCTGTAACTGCATCACCCAGCGTCTCCACATCTTTTGAGTTGTTTGTGTAGGAAAATCCCACTCCCACAGGTGCCTCCAAGAAGAGCACATTTGCAACTGATGATACAACATCAACAACAGTAGAATGAATATAAATGAAGCAATATTTATATATCTTTGTTTCTGGTCTGGTGGTATATATGGTTTGAGTTTGAGAGCTAGCTAGAATGAAATGAATGAAAACCTTTATTCCAGGAGAAGTTGTTAAGGATGAGAGTTCCATTGCTCCGAACAAGAAATGGGCCAAGTTCTTGTGCAGCTCCATAAGCTACGGATGAGCAGCCAGGTCCTGCATTCATTTTATATACATTTAATTTAAGCCCTTTAATCTAAACTAATTAGTCAAGTAATTAAAAAAGAAGGAGGAGGAATTAATGAATGAAATTGGCTAGTAGTGGGTAGTGACTCGTGACTCGTGAATGAGTAATGGCTATTGGTCATGTCCATTGTCCATTACCCTACCATTTCCAAAAGAGAAAGGCAACAAAAATGGGCGGAGAAAAACTTGAAATTTGAAAACAAGGAAAAGGAATGAGAGGCGTGACTCGTTTGAGAGCGAGGGGGAGGGAGAGAGAAAACTATACTGGGTCCTACCTAACCTAAGGCTACCGCAAGTAGTTTTCTCTAGGTCTTCCCAAGGCTACTACCCAGTCACTCCCTAGCCTGTCCAATTATGAAATTTGATGTCCTTCCAAAATTAAGAAGATCAAGTCCAAACTGAAGAAGAGTTGCACAATGTTTTTCAAATTTTTGTTCATGGATGACAGGACAGGACAGGACAGGACCCTAAGATATTACATTAGGTTTATGGTTATGGTTATGGGAGTTAACTCCTGGTTATGGACCTATGGTATGGTATGGGCAGGAGGAAGCAGGCAGGAAGGCTGGTTAAAGATAACGGCGGGAGGGCGGGCGGCGAATATTCCTTACTGCAAAAATGGTATATTAATACAATGGGAAGTTGGATCCATGCCTGCGCTAGCCTATGCGGTATCTGTTCTCTTCTGCTCTGCTCTGCTCTGCTTCAGAAGACAGAGGACCAGAAGCAGCAGCTCACTAGACTCTCTCTCTCTCTCTCTCTCTCTCTCTCGTTCTGCTTAATTACGTTCTCTGGCTGTCGTTGACCATAAGAAATTATAATCTCAAAATTCTAAACAATAATAATATAAATAGCATTCAAATTTCAATTCAACATACAAACAATTCCTAGTGGGATGGCAAGCAATGAGTCTCTGCTCCGTCTCTCTCTCTCTCTCTCTGTCTTATTTGTTGTAACTTGTAATTAGGCAGAGACACAAACAAACTGTGTCTCACATACGCAATTCAAAAAAAATTAAAATAAGAACACTTGTTTCTTTCTTTGCACGGGAGATGGAGAGGGCATTTATATGTTTCTTACTTAGCATAATTAATAATTAATTAAAAGATAATTAATTTAATTGGAGAGACAGAGAGAGAGATAGAGGTGACCTCCATTGAGCCAAAGGACGAGGGGTTTAGAAGAGGCATTTTGTTGGGCATGAAAAAACCAGTAGAACAAAGCCTTGTTGCTGCTGCTGCTGCTGTTGTGAGAATTATGATAATTAGGTAGTTGGACGTAGCCAGCGTAGTGGGGGAATGAGACCGGCGGCTGTCCGGGCAAGTTGATGACTCTGTCTGCTTCTCTAATTACTTCTAATTCTGCTTCTCTACTCGTGCCATTGCCATTGCCACCACCAGCTATGTCCTCCACAGCAAACACTACTAGAGTCTGAGAACACCAAATAAGAATAAGCAATGAGTTGAACAAAGGAACAAGGAGGAGGCCCATTGCCATTCCACAGAATAATCACACAGAAACAACACCTGCTCTCTCTCTCTCTCTCTCTCTCTCTCTCTCTCTCTTATCTAATTTGTGTATGTGTGTCTCTGTGTGTGTTTTATTTGGGTGCAATTTGCGTGAATGAGACTGTGGGAGTCAGAGAGAACATGGAGAGAGAGAAAGAGAGTTGAATGAAAATATGACTAGACTACAAAATGCAAGGGTCCGTTACATTAGACAGACAGAGCGAGAGAGCTTTTATGTATTCTAAATCAAGAGAGAAAATCTTATGGATATCACTTTTTGCTATCTCCGGTGCAAAGACATATAAAGTAACTTTTTTAAGTGTCATTGTATTATTGGCCGGGATAATATAACAGGATTATATTATTAGCCGGGATAATAAAACAGGATTATCGGTAAGTATTTTTAGCTAAATCTGAGGTTGGAGTGGGCAACCGCGTGGGACATGCTCCTGACAGACATGGTAAAAATGATTTCTCCACTCTCTCACTTCATTTTGTCCCTTCCCTTTGCTTAATTTTTCCTTCTCATTTGTTGGATATCCATTCAAACTCAAATCAAGAATATCCCCATTCACACAGTGTGCCTGCCAGATTTCTCAAACTGGATTTCCTTTTCCGCTAAACAAACACAAGAATATTCGAAATATTTATTTATTTCTTTAAATTCTTCTTCTTTTTCAAAATATTTCTTTAAATTTATCACTATATTAGATTGATACTTTTTTCTTCTGTTTTTTTTTTCTGTCGTCCACTCCACGTAGACATCTTCTTTCCACCCCAAAATAAATGGAGGAACAAAATCATTTTCTAGGCCCCGTTTGGTTCATGGGAAAGGAAGCTTGGGGATGAGAAATCAATTTTTTTCCCATATTTGGTAAGTTTAGGCATGGAAAATGGTTGTCTAGCACATGAGAAAGTAAGGGAGAAAGTGAAGCCCTCTTCACATCTTGGATTTTGTTTTTCCTCCTCATGGTAAAGTTTGGGAAAATGAACTAACATTCAATGCACATTTTTCATGATACAAGAATATTCGAAATATTTATTTATTTCTTTAAATTCTTCTTCTTTTTCAAAATATTTCTTTAAATTTATCACTATATTAGATTGATACTTTTTTTTTTTTTTCTGTCGTCCACTCCACGTAGACATCTTCTTTCCACCCCAAAATAAATGGAGGAACAAAATCATTCTCTAGGCCCCGTTTGGTTCATGGGAAAGGAAGCTTGGGGATGAGAAATCAATTTTTTTTCTCATGTTTGGTAAGTTTAGGTATGGAAAATGGTTGTCTAGTACATGAGAAAGTGAAGCCCTCTTCCCATCTTGGATTTTGTTTTTCCTCCTCATGGTAAAGTTTGGGAAAATGAGCTAACATTCAATGCACATTTTTCATGACAGCTTGGGGATGAGAAATCAATTTTTTTTCTCATGTTTGGTAAGTTTAGGTATGGAAAATGGTTGTCTAGTACATGAGAAAGTGAAGCCCTCTTCCCATCTTGGATTTTGTTTTTCCTCCTCATGGTAAAGTTTGGGAAAATGAACTAACATTCAATGCACATTTTTCATGATAATTTTGTCCCCATTAACAGTTTAGAATTACAATATATCATTAAATGCACTCTTTTTTTATTTGATTTAATATGGGTGTAATTGGAAAATTATACAAACTTTGTGTTTCTATTCCTACTCAAAACAAACATATGAAAGGAAATAAAGTGAAATCTCTCAATTACTTTCCCAACATTACCAAACGTAGGAAATGAATCTTCCATTTCCCATCTCTTAGGAAATGACATGGAAAGTGATTTCCCCTCAAATCCGTTATGTGAACCAAACGAGGCCTAAAAGATTCCAAGGTAGATTTTCAGAGACAGACTTGCCAAAATTTACCATGCGTGCCATCATCACAAAGCTTTCTTTTTAGAAAAAATAAACAAAAAAATTAAAAGCTTTCCTTAAAGATAAGGCTTATTTACTGTAGTGCCCCTTGAAATTTTGGTCAAATCTCAATTTACCCCTGAAAGTTAAAATAACCCACTTTACCTCATTGACCGATGTTTTGCATCTCACTTTGCCCCTTACCGTCAAATCTGTCAAAAACTCTGTTAAAAATTATGATGTGGCACCAATGGGACTCGTAATTTTGATAAACTAAGTGCCATCTGTGCAACAAAAAAAAAAATCTTTTAAAAAACGTGATTTAACTATTCAAAAAATAATAATACTTTAAAACCACAAAATATCCTATCAAAAACCAAAAAACAAAAAGAGATCCCGAATTCCCCTCGTCCAACTCCATTATCCCTTCCCAATCAGTCGCCATCACCACAACCACATCCCCTCCCGCCTACTCCTCTCTCTTCGTCTCTTGAAGATCCAAAATCCAGCCCCCTCCCTCAGCCAAAACCACGGCCCCATCCCCTAACCCAAATCATCATCACCCTTCTCCAACCCAAAACCCCACTGTGCATCGTGACCACCTCTCTCTCTCTCTCTCTCTCTCCTTGGACTAGTGAAAAATCCTTGCATGATAAAAATAGGTCCTTTGTTTTGAGAATCAGAAATCCTAAGGCAATAATGGAAACCCATTTAATGGAATTGGGGGGCTTCGATAGTAAGGTCACCAAGCTAGAAGTTCTTGTAACTTACAAGCAGTAATCCAGCAACCAACCCACCATCCCATCTCCCCATCCTCACACCATTCTTTCTCTTCCACAGCGGCAATTTTCCAAAACCCATATTAGAAATATTCTCAACAACCAATCACTAATTCAGGTCAAAATTTCAGCAAAAAATTAAAAATCTCCCTAACATAAATTGCAGAACAACTCAAAAACTCAAATTGAGCACAACCCAGAAACTCAAACTCAAACCCTAACTAGCAAAACAAAAACAAACCCCCAAATTGAAAACTGCAGATTGAGCACAACACGAAAACTGCAGACCAGCCCTTGAATGATTGAGCGGGGTTTGAAGGCTTGGAGGCGGCTAAGGTGGGGGAGATTGGAGGTTACGATGGCGGGGTTGGATTTGGTTGGAGAGGTGCCTTGGGATAACGGTGGGACTGGATTGAGGTGTCAAATGGGCCGTGCCGGGCCGGCCCGTCCCATTTAAACTCGTGCTTTTAACATTTTCGTGCCATGCCGGGCCGGCCCATTTAATTTATCGGGCCGTGTCGTGCCGGCCCATTTAATAAAATCATTGATCCCAGCCCGGCCCAAAGCCCATGTCCACATTGAAATGGGCCGGGCGGGGCTCGTGCTCGTGCCATACTCGGGCCTAATAACAAACCCATTTAATTTGAATTTTTTTCTCTTGATTTTTTTTTCTACTAGATAATTCAAGTTATAAACATTAAAAATATAATTAGAGGCAACAAATGATGAACTATTTGAAAACATTAATCAATCAAACATCCAAACAATATGAAGGGGCGGAGGGCAAAAAGTGTCCAACTCCACAAAGTCC